GATGTGGTGGTAAGCCTTCTGTGTAGAACACTAAATAGTCAGCAAAATGCCCCAACAGAGAAATGATTAGTTCCGTCTTTGGGGAACAGCTCCTGAAGACAGCAGACCTGGTGGCGATGGTATCACAGTGGAATGATTTCTAACTGTCCATTTTGATGATCAGCATTGTCACTCATGGAACACTGTTTTTAGTCAGCCAACTGCATGGATTTCTTCATTTTGAGGAACTACAGGTGTTTATAAATCCAGAAATCTGGCAATCTTTCACTTAACCTGAGGACATGAAGTTGTGGTTGCAGTCCCAGAGATGTAAAGGTACGTGACTAAAGGTCAGGGTCGGCTCGTCTTGGGAACAGAATGTCTGCATTGTCTCTTGCCATGACAACCTTTTCTACATCATCACAGTGGAATTTTGAACTCCTTGGAGTTCTGTTCTAGGTCAGCATTTGATGATGTTACCTTTAATTTTTTCTGAGACCTTCTCTCACTGACTAACAAATTTGGTGTTTTCCATTTCTTACTGAATTTAATGAGTTTCTGCCATCTCAGCAGCAGTGATAGAAGGACAGGCTGCCCCACTCACCAAATGTATACCTACTAATGTTTTCTGATTGGCTCTATCTGCTCCTGTGTTTCATATTAAATACCACAATGGTCCATGCTCCTTTATATAAAAGCTATTTGTACTTACTATTGTCTTTCCATACTTTGTATCTGAAAAGACCTTTTCTTTGTCCCAAAGGACTTACAACTGCCTTGATGTGGATCAATTCAAGGAGATCATGAAATATTAAGTGACTATTTTCTTAAATCTGACACAGGGTCTTTTTTGTTTACTTCTTTTTATAAGCCTTTTCAAACTGCAGATTCCAGTTTTTCAATTTGCTGGAAAGTTCTGGAATTATTTTGCTGACCACGTTTTCCCTTCTGTTTTTCTTTACTTTGTGTTTGGAGAACACAGGAATGGGTGACAGGAAGAGCCCTTGCTCTTCTGCATAAGTCTTAATGACCTATTTGCCTCTTAAACTATATTCCCCTGTAACCTTAAGAAAATCAAACTATAAATAAGAAAAACAACTAAAAAAAGGAACAGTTTGTAGGACTTAAGAACTCCTAAGAGTATCTTAGCAAATGATGTGAGAGCCTTCTGTTTTATTCTACAAAATTAGCACTGATTTTTGAGATTGGGGTTTGCTGAGTTGAATCTTTTTTCTCTTATTTTAACCCCTTAATACTTTTTTCCATTTATGAGCTACTTTGTTAACTTCTTTAAAGGTTTTATTTTATTTCTAACAGTTCACCAACATTTTGTGCATCCTGAATGTTCTTTTTTCATATCATCTTATTTTTGCTTCATGGATGTCTCTCTGAGAGTGTCTTTAAATACTTTTTTTCTTCTCTCAGCAAAGGTTATTTGATAACTCTTGTCTGTCTGAATACATAATACAGCTTTATTCACATGAGTAGAAGTTTTAACTATGGGAGACACTATAATGTAATCTGCCTGATCCATTTTGTTACAAAATCAATGGTAATATCATTTTTACCTTTGAATTGATCGAATTCCCAAGAGCAGACCTTTACATTCTCTGTGAGCACTGGAGAAGCTGAGTGGGAAAAGAAAGCCGACTGCATCAGCAATTAACATATAAATTTTATTTATGCCCTTTGTGTTTATATATTTCTCTACCATCAGCTATACTTGATGTTCCCAAAGTTTGTTTGGGTTTTGCTTTTTCACTCTGAGAAATTCATTTCTTAATTATGCCATGTCCTGCTAGGGAAATATTTGCACAAATAGAGTATGTTCTTAGAAGGAAATATTTAGAAATATCTTAGAACATTAGAGGTATAATGGAGAGTGGACAGACAAGTGAGACTTGAGCTAAACTCAGCATCAGCAAAGTCTCATGCTTATGTAAAGGATAAAACACTACACACAGTGGTGCATGCTAGTAATCCCAGCTACTCAAGAAGCTGTGGTAGAAGGATCACAAGTTCAAGGTCCACCTGAGCAACTTAGAGCCTGTCTTAAAATTTTTATAAAAACGGCTGATCCTGGGGACCAGGGGATGTAGCTCAGTGATAGAGTGCTTGCCTAACACATGGGCCCTGGTTCAACCCCTATTACTGAAAAAAAAAAAAAAACTTAAAAAGAGAAGGAAGGAAGAGAGAAAGTTAAAGCACAGCAAGTGCTCAGGTGTCCCTGGACATTCTCTGTGCCCATCTTTCTAGTGTCCTGAAAGGCTATCTTCTTGTTAATCTGCTCATGATCTTTAATAGAATACCCTTTTTTCTGGAGTGGATCTAATTCTATGCTTGACCAAAAGATGACCTAACATTAAAATTAAAACAATCTCTCAGATGTGTGACTTTTGTGTTGGTAGAATAAAACAGTGTCAATGTCCAAACAAGTCTTGTTTTAACAGCTATTTGCTGTTCCTATAACTATTAATATTATCAGTAACATACATGTTTAGTCCTGTGCAATTGTTGATCCGTGTAAGTGTTACAGAAACTTGCAATTTATGAACTTATATACTGCCAAATGGTTTTTCTCTAATGAATACATTTTGGTTCTGTGTAATGGAGCATAACAGAACTCTGTTCAGTATGAAGGTGTTTAGTTATAGGAATGTTAAAGAATGTTACAAGGTCTCAAGACCTTCATGTAGTCTTATAGAAGGTCCTGAAAGAATCAGTAGTGACTGGGGGAAATCTATTTCCAGAGAGCACTGTTCTAGTATCCAAAAGAAAAACATAAATGATTTTAGAAAGACCCATAATTTGAAACAAAGTAAGCGTGTGTTAACAAGATTTAAATAGGTAAGTAATTCATGTTGAGCCATAAAATATAGAAATATAGTAGGTAACCAAAAACTTCACACTTCAGTATTAGGCTGAATATTCTCCATTTTAAACAATTACAACTTCATATTGCTATCTAAATAAATACTTTCTCTTTTGGTAAAGAGATGATAAGCCCTAAATTTTTTTTTTTACCTCAGCAGAGCTTGATGAAGCATAACTGTTATGAAAACTGCTACTGAAAAGGATTTTGCCCATGATCCAAGGAAGGCTGAACTCACATGCCCAGAAGTTTATTCTTTGCCTTAAAATTTCCTTTAGCAAGTTTATGTGTTCTGCATGTTTAGTAGTTGAATCAAAGTTACATAATCAGCAGTACTATGAGTTCCAGAGGTATTTAGTCCTTTTGGCAAACTAGATTTTCTTCATTTGAAATCTCAGCTAATACAAGGAGTTTGCTCTAAATTTATGTTCCCATATTAAGGAATAAGCAAAGTTCATTCCCATGTTTGTTCTTTTTACAAGATGTCTGTTACAAAGTTAATGTCATTTTTTTCCTTAAGAAGTATTACATGTTTTGAGAGTCTGGTTCAGAAATGTAAAAAATACCCTCAGGGCCATGTCTTGCAAACTTATTAAAGAGAACACAGACTCCAATTTTAAGGTGACATTTTTGAACAAACTGTACAAGCTACATTTTCTGCTGCTTTGTAAAAGGTTTTCTTGTAACATCTTACGTCTGTTTTGTGGCCTACATGGTCTCTGGTCAAAATTACAATTCAGGCTTATGCTTGATCTCTTGTAGAAACATCCTCCCCCTTCTTTTCAGTGATGGAATCTACACACAACCTGTGATTCATCATTATTCACATTTTAATTACTTACACAACAAAGCATAGAATTGAAGAAAAGAATGTAACTTGTCATATATATATATATATATATATATATATATATATATATATACATTCCTAAAGTTGTCACATTAAGGAAAAGACTTGAGTGAACGTGCAGAAGTGCTTTTTGTAATCTAAACCTTGCTGCCATTTGTTGGAAGATTTATGCCTGAAGGAAAAATCATTCTACAAGATTTGACAATCAATTTGCCCTCTGTTCTGCTTTATGCATGTTAGAATATGTTTAAAATATTTAACCTCCTTTCCAATATTCTAAAGACCCGGTTTTCCTGGTTCCTTTGATTATTTTGAGGTCCCACTTCCAAAACAAACTTGTAGATGGGAAGAAGCTAAATGATTAGATAATTAAGTCTAGAACATATTACATTTTTCCCTTCTGATACTCTTGCAGGTCCACTGATGTCATGAATTCGCAGATGTAGATCATCTCCTTTTATATGGAAGGGCACTGGATTGCAGCTAGTAAGCCAAGATATATGTTTGCATTTGACAAACCAACTTTAAAGAATATAAATTGTATCATAAGTGTTTCAAACATTCATGTTATTGTGTTTGGTAAAAATAAATGTGTAGAAAAGAAAAATATATATGCACCTTGTCTACCATTATCTGTGGGTTCTGCATCCCCAAAAATATTTTTTTTTTTTTTTTTTTTTTTTTTTTTTGGTTTTTCTCCGGTACCAGGAACTGAACTCACGACCTTGTGCTTGCCAGGCAGACGCTTTGCCGCTGAGCTAAATCCCCAGCCCCATCCCCAAAAATATTTGGAAAAATTGTGTCTACACTGAACACATGCAGACTTTTGTCGTTCCATAAACAATACAATATAACAACTATTTAAACAGCATTTGCATTGCATTAGATGTCATAAGTAATTCTAGAGATGATTTAAAGTATAGGATGATTTAAAGTATATGGGTGTAGGCTCATTTTAAGTTTTATAGAAGGAACTTGAGCATTCACAGGTTTTGGTATTGATGGGGGTCCTGGAATCAATCCCGTATACCAAAGGCAACTATATATGTACTTAAGTTTCAGAAAAGCATATTTGGTCTATTTGGATTCTGCACATTTTTAGTCTACACTGTTACAGAGTAATACCAAAAAGTATATATGAGGTTTGAATAATCCCCAGATTTTGTAAAAACTAACTTTGAGAATTCAATTTTGCAAACCTTTTTTTTTTTATCTTTCATCCTTCACAAGTTTTTATATGCATATATGTTATATACAAATGCATTTTTACCTTTCAAAAATAATATATTCACACACGACTGACTTAGTAATCTTTTTCTCATTTTTTATCATATCAGGAAACTTTTCTCTTTTACAAATGAGTAAAGTTCTCCTATTAAAAGACAGAAGGGAGGGAGGGAGGAGGGAAGGAAAGGGGATGAAAAAAGAATTGAGATGTGTGATGTTCAAGCACCAACTCCCCACAAGGAATATCGTCATTCTGCACTGAAAACATGTACTAAGAAAAAATTTTAAAAACATAAAGACTTGTAGATTGGTTCAAAATACAATAAACAGTGAGATGCAGATAACAAAAGATACCTCTAAAAGCACTAAAAATAACAGGCTAAAAGTAGAAAGATGAACAAAGATATATCAGGAAAATGGTAATAAAAAGGAAAGCTATATGGCAATGTTAATATCAAATAACACGGAAATCAAACTACATTAAATAGGGATAAGGATGGTTTCGATTAACCTTCCAACGCATCACGATCAGTTTGTTTCTTACGCGCCTTATCTCATCTATTTCATTGACTTCTCTAAACTTATCGTCATTGCTTAAATGGCTGTTGTGTATATCTTCCTTAAATTCCTCCAGCGATTGAATCAACCTCTCTCTAAAAGTTTCTTCTGCTTTTTCCTCTTCTTTGGGTTCTTTCTCCTCCTCTGGTTTTTCCTCAGTTTCTGGTTCTTCCTCACATTTTGGCTCATTCTCATTTTCTGTTTTTTCTTCCATTTTTTGGCAGGGTTTCATCGTTTGTCTGCTTCCCCTTCCTTCCTTCTTCTGTTCTTCTCTCCTGCGTACTCCCCTTTGAACGCAGTTACTTCTAGCACCAGTTGGGGCAGTTTCTAAGTCCTAATTGTTTTGCGTTGGGCGGTGCTAAGAAGAGATCTGTAAAATTCTGATAAATTGACTCCTTTCACTGGCCTGGGGCACAGCCGCCTGCACTGCCGAAAGAATGCAAACCTTTTTTAATGCCTGCCATGTTCAGGGCACAGTGCCAAGTGCTAAGGATACATTGGATTTCCTTTCACAAAAAGTCCCAAAATTTTAGTAACTAAATGCTTAAATCACAGATCAATGTAGTCACTAAATGTCAACAGGATGGTAGGGTGACCTGGGTTTTATCCAGTCTGGTGCTCCATATGATAAACTGGTTAGATTTTAACCAAACCCAGCCAGTATTGAACGTTGCAGAGTAAATTAATCATGGCAAGCTATACACACTGCTGTGCTGGAGCTGGTTTTGATGGGTTCAAAAGAGTCAATGGTTAGCATCTCTTTCCAGCTGCAAGTTCAGTGAAATCACTTTGGTAGTTTGAAAACAGCCATTGTGTGAATATTTACACCACAGAAATCAGCAAACACTACAAATTGGGGTTTCATGTTTTTCTCATGTGGAAATGCAGGTGTTAAACATTTACATACTTGTAACTGATTATATGAGATGTTCTTACAAACATTGCCTTAATGACTTAGTACAATACATTCTTGTTTCTTCCTCATACCACAGTGTAATGTCATCTGCCAGAAGAACTCTGCTCTAGCAAGTAATTCAAAGGATCAAGCTCCTTCTGTTGTGGGGCTCTACTATCTTGACCGTGGCTTCATAGTCACCTTGTGATACCCACTCATGGAAAGGGGGTTGGTGGAGAGAGCACAGACCAGGCACCTCTTAACCGCCTCAAACCAGAAGTGAAACATCACTTCTACGCAGTTCCACAAATGAGACTAATCACAAAGCCCCATCTATATTCTAGAGAGATAGCAAACATTTGACAGTGAAAGGTAGCAGAGATAGTAACAGCTTAAAGGGACTGGAGGGTTGAAAACTTTTCTGGAGGTGAGAATGGAAACCTGGGGCCTTATACGTGCTAGGCAAGTGCTCTACCATGGAGCTACACCCTCAGCCTTTGAGCAAATGTTGTTCCTGCATTTAGGAAGACCTGGAACCAGAAAGTACTCATTATGTTGAATAAGCTCTGCTCATAGCATGTAAATTTGACAATTTCATTGATCAAAGCATGTCATAAGATCAGCCCGTATTCAACAGGAGGGGAAAAGAAACACCACCTTTTGATGAGAGAAGCAGCAAAGCCACATGGCAAAGGGCTGTGGACACAGGAAGGCATGATTCATAGAAGGATATTTTTAATACTCTACCACAACCTCCTACCAGCAGGATCCTGGCAACCCAGCCTGCCCTTTGTTCTTCCGCCTATGCCCCTTGAAGTTCTGTTGTAACTTTGGCTGTCATGGCAGCCTTGGAGTTCTTTATCATTTCACTGGCCTGCAAGACTAGGGAGAACTCACAATTCCTTCTAAGCTTAAATCTGCTAATCCAACCTTAGATCTTTACTTCAATCTATTTTGTGTTCCAGAATTTATCTACTGGTTATTTCTTCTCAAACAGGCCACTGCTTCTTCAGAGCAAAGCCTCAGTCTTACCTATCTGTGTCTCTGACAGTGCCAGTGCCAAGCACAGCCTGTCCACACCTGGTTTAAATAAATGTCGATTCAAATTGACCATCTTCAGTTTTGATCAACCTTTTCTGTATGATCTGCCACAACAATTATTTTTGACTGTCATTCAAGAAAAGAAAGCAAAGGAAACAATATTGAAGCTTCCTAGAGAATGCCTAAAAACTATTCGTTGCTTTTAAACATACTGTTTCTCACAGGCAAATGCCACCCGTCATCTGGTATCTTAAGTCTGTGGTTAGGCTTCTAAATGTAGTCCAAAGAAGGCCAAATACTTAGTGAATACTGAATAAAGGAACAGGAAGAATCAGAATCAAAACTTTCCATAATGATTTTTTAAAAACATACGAAAGGAAAGAATCTCAATATTGTAAGAGGAGAAAATACACAAGAACAAGGAAAAAAAGACTTGCACAGCAGTGTCCACACACACCCCTCTTTCTCTAACCCCAACCTGAAGTGACTGCAGAATGTGTTGATGCTGTTAGAAAAATTGTAGCTGATCCAATTCTCTTCTACTTGATTCCGGTGCTGCCCCATGACCCATTCCCCCCCCCAGCCAAAAAATGTGTGTCAGTATAGTTCCTGCTGATTCTGATTGTCTTTGTCTCTTAGGAATATTAATCTGCCCCACATCCACTCTGGTAAATACCACCTGCTCACTGCAAGACAGGGAAGATTTAGTTGAGTTCAAGAATACCACCCACCCCATTAAATTGGATATTAATACAGTTTTGATTTTTCCCTTTTCTCAACCATACCTGTGATCTGGGGAGTTATCCAAGCTTCTCAGTCTGCTTTTCTATAAAACTGGTCTATTCATTTCACAAAAAAGAGAAAAATGTGTGAGAAATTCTGAGATTTCTTTTTCAGAGATGACCCAGACTTTAGGCCTCTCCCACAGGCTGAGAGGAGCCCGTGAAGGGGTAGTGGCCTCCACCCCGGAGTTCTTTTTTTTCTTTTTCTTTTTTTTATTTTAAAAATAAAAGAAGGAAAACATTAACAGACAGACAACCATTTACAAAATAGCCAAAGCACAATACAAACAATACGGAGTTACAAACAAAGTGGCAGGAAATTAACAATGCTTGTTGTATTACATATTGATATCTTCAAAGTAGTTTCTCATGAACACAGCTAGAGACATGCAATATTGATCAATCGAGGGCTTATTAACAGTTTCTTTCAGCAAAGAAATAGAAGACAGTAGAACAACTATGCTAACTATCCTGTATATACATACATACAAAATTTCTCCTTCTTTCCCTTCTCTTTTCCCACATCCCAGCTGCCCTTTACCCCTGAGCGTTTTCCTTTCATTTCACAATGTCTATCATACCTCTGAGTTTTTATTAACTCTTTTGGGTTTTACTCTAGTGAGACAATGCTGCACCCTGGAGTTCTATCAGGAACAGAAATATCTTACCTTTCACCCTCCTTCCAGATTACTCCTGTTTCACTATTTACAATGGAGTGAATGCATGTGCACCCCTCAAATTCATATGCTGAAATTCTAACTACCCAGATGATGATATTAGGAGTTAGGACCTTTGGGAGGGGATCAGCTCATAATTCAGATAAAGACCTTATGACAAAGACCCCAGAACAATTTATAATAGCTAAGCTGTAGAAACAGCCTATATGCCTATCAAAAAAATGAAAGGATTAAGAAAATGTGGTGCATGCACACACACTGGAATATTATTTAGCCATGAAAAGAATGAATTCAAGTCATTGGCAGGGCAATATATAGAACTAGAGAACATCATGCTAAGTGAAATAAGCTAGAGTCAGAGGGTTAAAGATTGCATGTTTTCTCTTATATGAGAAAGCTAAAATATAAATAAAAAATGAATAAAATAAAGGAGATTTGAAGAAAATTCAAGGTATACTCCTAGAGATGGGGAAGGAGATTGGAGGAGAAGCTATGAAAGAGAGAAGGGGTTAAAGGGATTGAAAATGATGAAGGTATGTTATATGTATGTACCAATTCCCCAAAGTGAACATCACTATTCTCTATTACAAACATTCTCCAATAAAAAAAAAAAAGAGAGACACCAGGGAGCTAGCTTGCCCCTTTTACCTTGCAAACATACAGCAAGTAGGTACCATCTATGAGGAAGGGGATCTTTAGCAGACATCTAATTTGTTGGTGCCTCCATCCTGGACTTCCAAGCCTAGAAAACTGTGCAAAATAAATTTCTGCTATATAGCTCAGCCAGTTTATGATATTTTGCTATAGCAGATCAAATGGACTAAGACACTGCCCATGGTTTACTTTGCTATATGATTAAAATATTTTTGTTAGCTGTTCAATTTTTAAAAAGCTTATAGTTATTTACATTTGAATTGAACACTTTTACAAACAATGGATGAGTGCCCATCTACATGAACTATTTATCATGAACTACTGATTTAAAGCAAAACAGAAAAGAATCATCAATACAAACTCGATACTACTACCATATAATCACTATTTATATAGCTTTATTGAGGTATAATTGATATAAAATACGGTGCACATATTCAGAGTATACAGTTTGATAAGTTCTCACAAATGTATATATAGCAATGAAATCACCTCCACAATCAAGAGAGTGAACAAATCTATAGCCTCCAAAAACTTAACATTTCTGCCCTTTTATAATTCCTTTTTGTCATCTCACCTCCCTTGCTACCCTCCCTAGATTGATGGGAGCAGGCACTGCTGGTTATCCCTGGCTCTGTGAATACTGGACATGTTGCTTGTGAACCTTTCTGGCAGTCCTTTCCCCAGCTTGCATAGCTTCCTTGTATGTATGTGGTGATCAGTACTCTGCTGAATACCTGACATGGACTCTCTACAGTGATTCTAAACATTCCCCATTTCTCTAAACTGAAATCTAGCTGCCTTTGTCTCCCCAGATTATTGGCTCTGTTTCTTCAATGTATGAGTGTATGGAATCTTCTGAGGCTGCCTAAGTTACCCCTCACAGAACTGTGACCTGGACACTCTTTCCAGGCAGTGAAGAGAGGTAATTGTAGGGTTCACTGCTTTTGTTTCTTGCTTTGCAGGAATCACTGTCTCTATTTATCTGGTATCCAATGTCTTGAAAACCATTGTTTTGTTTATTTTGGTTTTTAATTTTTTTTTTTGAGACAGGATCTTGCTATGTAGTTCAGGCTGACCTTGAACTCACTATGTTCCCCAGGTTAGCCTCAATCTCACCAAAAATTCTTCTGCCTCAGCGTCTGGAGTGCTGAGATTACAGGTGCGTGTCACCACACTCAGCTTGTTTGTTTATTTGGTCCAGTGCTTTAAGTTGGAAGGATAAATTTTCTCCCTGTTACTCCGTCTTCTCTGAAAGAGGAAGTTGCTCATAGTACTTCAGCTTGCCGTAAAATTTTTAAGGGACAATAAACTTTCCACAAATAAACTGTAGGAAAACATTTTCCCTGAGTTCAGTAAGCAGATTTGGAAGGTAAATTTAAT